ATGGAATGTAATCTTTGTGGACTTGTTTATTTTGGTGAAACTAAGGGTTCACTTAATAAAAGAATATCAGGACACAGATTCCAAATTAACAACTGGGGCCAGCAGTTCTATTCAAGCATTTTAATATACCTGATCATTCTATTTATTAATGAACGTTAGAATTCTAGAAAAGATTTACCATCATACAAACAGTCCATCACTGAGTACAGCTTTCCGTAGACAACGAGAAGAATATTGGATAAGAAAACTATAGGCACGGCCTTTTCCTATGGATGCAATGACAATGTCGATAGTGTTGGAAATCTTTCCAGTCCACAGTGTAACAATGTAAATGTGATGGGACTTTTTAACCATACAAAGAGACGAGAGCGTAGTCAAGGGCATCGGTCATACAATAAACCTTTAATGCACGATGTCTCTTTTGATACATTACCACTTTATGTAAATCAACAGTTAGGTCTTCATCAAATTCGCACCAACCTTTGAAACTTTTAAATAGTCTACTTGAAAAGGTCAAGGAAAGACTATTTTTGATTCCTCGACACCAGAATACACCCTCGGATCTGTGGTTATGGATATTGCAAATCATAGGCTTTTTAAACCCCCACGTTTTAACAAAGGAATTGACGCGGTTAATATAAGTAATATTCTTAATCACAAAAGGGTCCAGTCTTGTATTCCACCATATTTCAAGTTGAAGACTACACCTTGTATTTCCTACAAATATGCATCGACTATTGCTTCCAAACTTTTTAATTACAAGAAAACTTTACAGAGCCTGGATATTGAGCATCTGATACATAATCCTCCTTCCTGTTCATGTTCTTCTTCACCCAATAACTATAGTCCTGCTGGACACGTTATTAGGGCCACAATTTAGGGAACCCCGATCTTTTAACGGGCGTCAAAATTTCAGAAATATTATGGATTCTGTGGAAGATTACGCCTGGCGATGGGCCAGACATGAAAAATAAGACCTTGACATGTTGTCAGAATGGATTAAAAGTGTCGGATGTATGTTAAATACTTATAAGGTATCAGAGTTAAGTGAAACAATTATGGTGCAATCAAGATAATTTTCGGTCTTACTACAGATCTTAGTCATAAGATAGTTTTGTGAAACGGGCCTCTGGTCTTCCTACAATCTGTCGGCAATACCATTGGAACAATTGCGCCCCGTTATTAACGACCTTTTTTTTTTTTTTTTTTTTTTTTTTTTTTTTTTTTTTTGTATTCATATGAAGCAGAATTTATTCAAAAACTTGTGCATGAGGAAGAAGAAAACACTTGTTTGGCCTTCAACTCGACATTTAGATGTACTGACGACGTATTATTAATTAACAATAGTTATTTCAATTTATATGTCGACTCGATACGCAGGTATGTTAAGGCAGTACCCAGATCATATTTCGGCGAATTTAGACTTTTTCGTAAAATGTAACATTGATAAATCGGAAAAACCATAGATAAAACATTTACTATTATTATCCATTGTATAGACGTCATTGAGTCTTAGGCTAAAAGAAGCACTCCACTACGACGTCATCACGTGACATCTCTAAATAGAAAAATTACCTTAATGAAAAAGTGAAAAGTTCAACACTACCCCGGAGATAATTCATTTCTTTTAGTGAAAATAATTATGTAAAAACATCACTGGGCCATGAAAAGTGCTGCTAGAATCTTACTCTCCTGACACAGAAAAAAATATTCCAAAGTTTCGCATGAAACCTTACCAAAATTTTTACATTTTATACATAGGATCAAAGAATTTTTATCAATTCATGTTAACCACATGATTCTAGCAGCACTTTCCAAGTACTATAGAATACAAGCTTTCGATACAAACAAAAATTATATTTCAAAGTATGCGGCGTAGTGTTGTACTTTTGCATCTTTGTTGTTATAGAACGACAGAGGAACGGCTGATCGGGATTTCAAAGCACTGACTATGTTCATTATAAGAAAACATGATAAGAATATATCAGCGTACCTGATTCTTAATCTTTAATTCCTTATGAATCAAACATAACATTCATGGTATATGCCTTAAAACTCCCATTTCATATATTTGTTTACATGAATTCTCATTTCACTCGGCAAATATTTGATCAATAGTTATGACGTCATGGGTTTGGTATTTAACCCCCGTGCTAAATAATTAGCTATTTATACCACCCAAAAACGACAAGATTTAGTTTATGTTATGTTTTGAATGATTCCATTCTTTTCTTGGACCTGAAATTAAACTTTAAAGATAGATATTAAGAAATCATTATTTCTATAGTTCACGTCATACACCTTACATATTGTGAAGGCAAGTAGGATATCTCTGGGTGTAGCCTTAACATACCTGCGTATATCCCAGTGAACTTGAAATAAAAGATACCACAGAGTCTGACACATCTGTTTCATATTTGGATATTTTACTAGAAAGCGACGTTAATGGTAACCTAACAACAAAGCTTTATGAGAAACGTGATGACTTTAACTTTTCAATCATCAACTTCCCATACTTAAGAAGCAATATACCCTTATCACCTGCCCTGTATATTGGGTTTATGTCTCCCAGTTGATTCGATATGCAAGAGCATGCTCTATGTATAAACAATTTCTAAAATGAGGCAAGCTATTGACAAACAAGTTGATGAAACAAGAATATCAACAGTCTTGTTTAAAGTCATCATTTCGCAAGTTCATTGGTCGATACAGTGGCCTTGTCAGGAATTACAATTTATATTCTACTGGCGTTTTTCAAACTAATTGTTAGCCCAATATTTACACATTGAATTGATTTTTCCGTTTGCCCGATCATGACAAGGAGCACACAGCTGGTGTGACCAGTCGGCCGGGGATGCCACTCCTCCATGACACCTGATCCCACCTTTGATGATTTTAGGGGTCCATGATTGCTCTGCTCCTGGTTTGTATTTTTTTCTATGGACTTTTGTACTTGATTGCTGTTCGTTATCTCCATATTTGATGAAGCTTATGTAAAAGCTTTTTGACAGTGTTGATTCAAATTTCTTCAAATCGAGATCCCCGGGGGTAGGGTGGGGCCACACTGGGCAATCAAAGTTTTAAATGGGTATACATAGGAAAAAACTTTTAAAATCTTCTCAAGAACAGGAAAACCACGATCAGTTATATTTATATGGAAGTGTCAGTAAGTAGTGTAGATTCAAATTTGTTCAAATTATGAACCGCAGGGGTAGGGTGGAGCCACAGTGTGCAATCAAAGTTTTACATAGGAAAACATAGGAAATATCTTTAAACTTCTTCTTAAGAACAAGAAATCCAAGTCATAAATCTTCTCAAGAACAGCAAAACCATGGTCAGTCATATTTATAAGACAAGATAGTGTGTATTCAAGTGTATATTTAAGTTTATTCAAATTAGGACCCCTGGGGGTAAGGTGTGGCCACATTAGGCGAATAAAGTTTAACATAGGGAAATATAGGGGGAAATCTTCAAAAATCTTTTATGTTCATGAGCAAACTCATAAGCTATCATATATACTTATATGGAAGGACCCACAGGTAGTGTATATTCAAGTTTGTTTAAATCATGACCCCGGGTGTAGGGTGGAGCCACAATGGGCAATCAGAGTTTTACATGGGAATACATAGAAAGTCTTTAAAAATCTTCCAAAGAACAGGAAGACCATTATCAGTCATATTTATATGGAAGCACCCTCAAGTAGTGAAGATTCAAATTTGTTCAAAGCGAACAAATTGATACATAGGAATAATCTGTAAAACTCTTCATCTCAAAAACAGGAAAGTCATGATTAGTCATATTTATATATAAGCATAGTATATACTCAGGTCATCTTTTTTTAAAAATGTTTACTTGCCCTCTCCCAACTCAGAATTAAAAAGTTGGGTAGGTAGGTAGGGGGAATTTTTTTTTCAAAAACACGTGCGAATATGAACTTTTAGTTAGTAATGAGATGTACAAAAAAAATACGGAATGAATTAAATAAATTGTTTCCTGGAGGTTAAAAAAGTTTCAAGTCAGACCATTTTTATTCAGTCTGTCGGGAGAGAACATACATACTTTTTTCATTCAAAGATTGCCTCAGGTAGTGAAGATTCAAGTTTATTCAAATCATGACTATCAGGAGTTAGGTAGGGATACAATGGGCAATCAAGTTTTACATAGGAATATATAGGAGAAAAGATTCTACTGATGAACAAGAGCCATAGTTACTCAGGTGAACATTGTGGCCCATGGTCCTATCGTTACACTTAAATAGCAGGTATTATTTTTGTTATAATTTTGATACATACTGTGCTATGCTGTTTTAAAGTGTATATCTCCGACTGAAATAAGCCATCATTCCGATATTGCCCAAATATCACTTCATATATATCATGTTAAAAAAAAAAATTTGTGTGATCTCATCATTTTAATGATTTGCTATGAAAATCTGTAATTATTTTTGCCTGCATGAAATGCGGGGCCTCTTAGGAATCACAACGTGTCTGTCTCTTCATCCATCAACACTGCATGTCTTTGCGACTCGAAAACTCAAACATTTTCACCATTTTAAAATTCAAATACACTACATTAAGGGAACAAAAACCTATAAATTTTTGGCTTACATTATTTTGTATGACTGAATTTATGTATGTCTCTATGTCAAATCTTATATGAGTGATTTTTTCATGTCACCTCCCTTATGTGCTGTTTTTTGTATCAAGTTGTCACTATGTCAGCCCTCAGCAGAACCTGCTCTGACTGTATCAGTTTTTATGTCGACTTCTATTCTGTAGTTGACAATGCAAAGTATGTCTAATAGACTTCACCCATCTACTCGTATTTGGTGAATGAAATTGTAATCAAGAGAGTTCTATATCTAAATCTTATTAAAAAGAACTCAACTCCATTTGCAATTCTTATTAATAAAAAAACTAATTAGTTTTGTATGTTTAATGATAAATCATGTAATAAAATTATTAAAATACTAATTTTTAAAATTACCTACCAGTACATGAATTTACACAAAAATCATATCTTTACGACTTAATAATATTGATTTTAAACTTAAAAAATTACATGTACTGGTATAAAAGCGAAGTTTAAAGAAGCATAGTGAATTTTTATACATCTACACAAACATAAAATTTTAACCAAAAAAAAAACTTTAAAAACTTAATTTACACTTTAATTACCATTTGTTTCAATGTCATAGTTCTGTTTTAAAACAATGCCAGCATTTATACTTTACCTTAACTAAGGCAAGCTGTTTACAATATTTAGTATTAATGCAAGTCAGATATTGGTGTTTATATTACCAATGAAACTACTTGCAACAATGCTATAGTTAGCAAAATTGTCACTAAATTTTCTTCTTTGCATAAAAAAATGAATAAATTGCACACAAAAAAATGTATAAACACCTCTTAGTTACCTTGGTAATACCACTGATTATGCTCAAATATTTTGACTAGGCAACATCTCAGTTTGAAACAAAAATGTAAACTTCAGATAACGTCACAAATATAAGTAATAACACAAAATAACAAACAAAAGTATCGGCATATTCTGAAGTATGGGAAAGAGTTTAAAGTTCATGAAACTTAAATATCATTTTGATATGAAATGACAACACAAAAATCAAATTAAGCTACAACAATACAGTCCTTGCTATGACCCTGATTACAATATGGGTTACATTATATAAACAATGCTGCAAATAAAAACACAAGTTACATGTAGATGCACACATGCACTGTATTTATATGCCTTAATAAATGCAGATTCTTTTACAAGTAAAACATGAAAAATAAATATAAAGTATGTAAATATTATCTCACTATACATGGGTTGATCAAGACGGTCTCAGACTAACTTCATAAAACAAAATATTATTAAAATTTTGCAATTCAACAAGAATATGTACATAATACCAGGGATACATGTATATTCTTATTAAAAGTGAGCTAGCATCCTCACCATATTATCTTCAGATCTTCAGCTTTGTTATCTTAAACCGATATAACCAATATTCATGATAAGAACTGTAAATCTAAGAAATCTAATAAATTTTAAATATTGAGAATATTTTGCACACACTTTAATAGTGAAGTCTCAAGGAAGAACAATTTTGATTTGTTAAAAACATAACTTGTTATATCTGACTAGTTCATAATGCATTTTAAAATAAGGAGGATGAAAATCACTAAAATTAGAATTCATTACAAGCACGATCGCTGAATTCTTTCTCTTTATTATATATTGAAAACATGCATTTTTGTGAGGTTCAGATGGGCTTCAGCCTTAGAATTTTTAAAATTGACTATTTCTCCTTATTCAAATAAATCCTTGATTCAATGAAAACAAAGCAGAAGCATTAATCAGAAGAAACTAATTTCACCAGGGTCCCTGTTGGGGGTAAGGACAAGAGCCACCTGAAGCTGGGGGAGGGGCAGAGGGGCCCCCAGGAGGGGCCTTAGCCCATGATGGCATGGGTCCCTGATTCTGTGTTGGAGGAGGGGGAGGGGGGTTTTGCCCTTGGTTTTGCTGAGGAGGATTTTGTCCGGGAAGAACAATGTCAGTTCTTGGTGGCTTAGGAGTGATCTTGTTGGCTTGCATGTATTGCACCACTTGTCCTGGTATTTCTGCCAGTACCTCCTTGGCAAGAGCTGCTTGAGATATCTGAGTATTTCCTCCAGACTGTCCTCCAAGGAAGTCTCGGAAAGGAACAAACTAAGACATAAAGAAAGATTTAAAAATATTATGTGAACATCTTTAACAAGAATTTAACTGTGTTCAAAAATTTTTGCAGGATTTCAAAATGAATTACTACTTTGATTCACATACAGTTTTTAAACATTTCAGTCTTAATGCTTTCTTTAAGAATTCAGAATTACTAGGAATAATTCAAATAAACATTTTCCCCTATCATACCTGCACTATGTCTCGCACAGCATACTTTCCATTTGAACACAGTCTCTGGTCATCTGCATCAAGCACATTCATTGCTGAAAAATTTCAGAACATAAGTGAATTCTAAAATTTATGCAGGTGTTGCTATATATCCTATGCACTTTGCATTCATTTAGCCTAACATGATTGGTAGAATTGAACAGAAACTTGGATTAGTCATAATTAAAAGTCTTTGTTTCACTTTCAAATGTTCATAAATTACTTTTTTCAAAAGGTATCACTATCAGCATTTGTTACATCTATATGCTTTTACACATCAAGAATAATAATCAATGCACTTCCTTCCTTAATTATGTCATACTAAAAAATTGTTCAAGAAACTGAACTTCATTCTAATCTAGCTAATTTGTTAGTGATTTCACTTCTATAAAATAACTCATTACATGTGTATATAAAAATATCTTTTGAACTTCCTAAAAATTAAATACATGTCTACCTGAAAAATCAGCATTTCCTACACCTACAATAATTATGGAAAGGGGCAAATGAGATGCCTGTGGAAAAAAATTGAAATGTGCATGTTAAACAAAATTTACCATAAAGAAAAGCAAATAGTTACACTGATATTCAGTTTTGAAATAAAACTTTTTTTCCCTTTAATTGGGTTAACTTGCACTACATATAACAAAAAGTACAATTTACTCAACCTTCACATTAAAAATTTCAACAAATGATGTTTAATATTGTAGTGACTGGTGAAATACCTTAAATTTTCTAGAAATGCACCTAAAGCATATTTTATCTCAGTAAATAAATATAGCTGTATACTTTTCATAGATCATCGGAAAATATAAAATCTTTGTATAGTTATTGGAATTACAATACAATTTGTCTACAAACTTCTCTAACAACCCATGTATCTTAAAATAACTCATAGTGTCACAAGAAAAATATTTTTTAAAATCTTGAATGCAAACTGCATCTCATATCTGTTACAATTAGAAATGAACAGTAGAACTTTCAAATTTACATGTACATTTTATGTCCAATTTTCAAATTAGTCTGTATAAAGAAACTTTAAACTTACAGTGACTATAGCATCAATAGTGTTCCGCATGTCCGTGATTTCTCCATCTGTCAGAATCAGCAGGACAAAGTAATTAGAGCCATCTCTTACAGAGGCTGCGAACCTGTCACAAATAAAACACACATGTATTTAACCAGTAATGACAATACAACACAGCAAAATTTAAGTCCAAATCCCAAATTCTACATAAGTAATGAAGTTGTTGATATTGTGATGTAACCCATCTTATTGATTTGCACAAAGAGATAATGTACAGAATTGAAGTTGTTCAGATTGTCTTGTGTTAAAAATCCTTGCTTTCAACTGTCTTCTTGTAGCTTTTACTTGAAAACTGTTTAATATTTACAAAGCTTGTTATGTTTTAGTTTTTGCTGTTGTTGTTGTAATTATAATTAAAAATAATAAAAATAATAATTAATATATAAACAGTGCATGTTTTGGAGGGTAACCATTAAAATTGATACCCCAAGAGAAAAGCTAATGTCAACTGATGCATCAACAGCAATTGACATTAGTTTTCCGAGGGTGTCAGTTTCAACAGTTACCCTCAAAAACATGTTTATTTATCTTATTTACATACTACTAACACATCCCATACAAAAAAGGTACATATAGGCATGCCTTTTTTGTGCCAATTCAGTACTTAAAGTGTGCCTACTAATATAGGTACAGAAAAGGCATACCTATTCTGTGCCAATAATGAACTTAATTTTTTTCCAATGTACCTAAAATGTACCTACTTTGGACTTTGTCATTTTTCAGTGTGCCTGAAATGTACCTACATTGAACTTTGTCATTTTTCAGTGTGCCTGAAATGTACCTATATTGGACATAAATATTTTCCAGTGTACCTAAAATGTACCTACATTGGACTTAGTCATTTTCTAGTGTTCCTGAAATGTACCTACATTGGACTTTGTCATTTTGCAATGTGCCTGATTAGTACCTATAAAAGACTTAGTCATTTCACAGTATTTTAGTCTACTTACCCATACCAAAAATATTAACATTTCCATATATCTTTTCTTTAAATTTTGTACCTTGAGGATGAGTAAACTTTTAGAATTTACAACTTTTTTACCTAAAATTGACAGCCATATTTGAATTTAACTAAAACTTAATTCAGGAACTTTGTCATATTTCAATGTAACTTCTAAACTAAATTGGACTGTCACATTTATTGCTTCTGTGTAACTTAAAACTGATTTTTTCAACATATGCACCTATTTGTGATAATATTTAAATACAATCATGTTTTTCAATCATAGAAAAATGAAAACTCAAACAAGTGAATCAATAATTAACTAGAACTGTCCAATAGGGACAAATACCCCCCGTTGGGTTTTTCAGAGAAAGTACCAAATCACTAATGTTTTCTAGATGTGAGAGGTGTTCACAATTTCCTTAAACATTTCCAGTGAAAATTTAATTACTCATTATATTTTTTATATGTCCGTCTTAAGACGGGACGTATTATGTTATAGCGTTCATGTCCCTCCGTCCGTCTGTTAGCTTTTTCATGTCCGACTCATAACTTTAATACTATTAGGCCTAGAATTATCAAACTTTTTCAGCTGATACATCTAGGGTAGAAGGTGTGTCACACATTAAAACCAGGTCGTTCTGACCTTTAATAAAGACGCTATGGCTAAATATGGAAAAATCATAACTAGAAAACCATTAGACTTAGAATAAAAAAAACTATGTCTTTTAACTTTTAAATTACACAATCCCAAAAGATATCGGAGTATTGCAGTAAATTTATTAAAAAAGTGTTAAATCAAGAAAATACTAGTCTTATTTTTTTCATTATGTTCTTTACAGCAATCTGTAACAAGAAAAATTCCACCTCTCCCATGGGTGTAATGATCAGGCACTGGTCAAGGAAAATTTTGATAGCAGAAAATTGCATGTCAAATTAGAGATAAATTAATGAGTTTAGTGTGAGGTGATAACTGGTAGAGCATCTCTGATCAAGCAGGTGTTATCTACATCTCTTGGGAAATGGGCAAAAGGAATCAGTCTCTTAATTAATTGCTTGTGTTGTATTGAATTGTTCTTGTTGGCTAGTCTTACTTTCAAGATAAATTTGATGTAATTAAAACTAATTTGATATTGTTTATAATAATTAAAACTTATATGATATTGTATAATATAATTTAAACTAATTATTTATTGTACATTTTTTATTTGAATTTTTATATCTTTACAACAAATTGCAGACTGCCTTGTCTCACTAAGATGTCATTCGACCAATTGAATCTAAACTGTTTATGATAATTTAACAATATTTGATGGGCGTATAATGCTGTGGTGGGGCACTTTATTTTAATGAATGAAACTAAGGTGCAGCCTAATAAAACATCAACACTAATAATTACAGTGTTTTTTATTACATTGAAAAAATAGTTTGCAACTATCTGTCATCTTTGTGAGACATGACACTCTGCAAATTGATTGTTGAAAAAAAAAAAATATCATAATTAATTATACAAAATCAAATTGATTTTAATACCTTTATATCAAACTCATTTTAAAAATAAAAGGCTGGTTTTAGTAACTATGTATTTTGACAGACATAAATAACAATTAAGAGACTTAGACAACAGAGATCTTTATTTCTTTCTGCCCAATTCCCCGGAGATACAGATAAGACCTGCCTGATCAGAGATGCCCTAACAGCTTCCCACACTGAACTCATTAATTAATCTTTAACTGGATGCATGTCCACTCATTACTCCCAAGGGACAAATGGATTTACACTATCTGCTGTGTAATGTAAAAACTGTTTTTAATACTTTGTGGGGTTTTTTTTAGTTCTAATGAGTAGTTTTAAGCTGTAGTTCACATTTTTGTGCAGATGTTCTAGATTCTATGTCTCAAACCTTAGACATGAACTCGAAATGACTAAGTCAATAAAAATTTTTTAAAAACACCTGTAAAATGCAGAAAAATTATCAAATAATGTTGAAAATACCAGGTGCACATCTTCATATGGTAAATAATAAGTGTACAAATTTTCATACAAATCTATGCAATAGTTTCTGGGAACAGATCCAGACAAAACCACATAATAAAAATGAAAAAAACACCTGTAAAATGCAGAAAAATTATTCAATCATAATGAAAATACCAGGTGCACACCTTCATATGGCGAATAATAAGTGTACAAATTTTCAGACAAATCCTTCCAACAGTTTCCAAGAAATGGTCAGGACAAAATCTCGTCTACAGACAGACGGACAGACGGACAGACAGACGGACAGACAGACGGACATGATGATTCCAATATACCCCCCCTAAACTTCGTTTGCGGGGGGTATAATAATAATTAAAATTATACTTTTATAGTAATACAATTATATCATGACATTTAGGATGTGTGATTTGTGTGTGTGTGTGTGTGTGGGGGGGGGGGGGGGTAGTAATAAAAGCCACTTTTTATCCACCACTTCTTTTTTTTTAAATTATTATTCAACAATTTGTTCTTTTAATTATTAATTATATTATACTTAAGATTTCAGTTCATTAATGCAAGCATAATGTGTACTGTGTTGGGGGAAGAAAAAAAAGGAGGGGGGGGGGGGGTAATTTTGTTACAATCAAATGCCAAAAATATATATATAATTATCAATTCAATTCAATTTAATTTTTTTAATGGCAAATAAAGATCCATTTTTGTTCTTTAAACCCCCCCCCCCCCCCCTCTACCCTACAGGGTTCTTGGTAATTTTGTTTTACATGTTATGAGACAAAGGGGGAGGGGGGGTCTTATAAACACAGTATAATTATAAATACCAATATTTTGACCATCTGAATTGCCCAGTTTGACAGAAAAAAGTGTATTAAAATCATTAATACCTTGTATTACAGTCTATTAAATGATATCCAAATTAGGGCATCTCTCTCTCTCTCTCTCTCTCTCTGGTGAAATACAGAAATGTTAGGGATGTTTAAATTTACTTATATATAGAGTGAGAATTTATATCCAGTAGTCCAACGATATTTTAAAATAGACTTCGTTTTTCTTTGTATGCAAAACGATGTTGATTTCCACAGTGTTCTTCAGTGACACAGGTGTTTGTATTAGGTGACTTTTACAGCTTACACTGCAGAAATTTTGGCTCGTGTATCACGTGCAGTTCTTCACAAGGGGCTGATTTGAAGTCTACAGCTCAATCATAATAGGTAAATAAACAAAAGAAAAAATAATAAAAATGAAATAAAAACAGATATTTTTGAAATTTGTTTTAAACTATAACTGATAGTAAAGTAGTAGCAGTAAAGAATAGTGTCATATTTACAAATCAGGCTTGAAATTTAATATAAATAATAGCCTTCAAAATGTTCAAATGACGTGTGCTTATTGTTTAATTTACCATACACATACTATGTAAACATGATGTGTATATTTTACAGGGTTCATGTAGTGACACTTCATTTCGATGTTTGGGAATATAGAGTGCCAGTTACATTAAGATTTTAGCTGAGGTCTAGTACATAAAGAATTTGTTGTAAATCAATAAATTTAATCAATTTCACACGTAATTTAAAAAAAAAAGAAGTTATGTGAAATCAGAATGGCGACCCCGATTATAACACAAAATGACCTCCAAAATGGCGGTCCTGATTATTTGCCCAATTAGGGACGCTATACTTCAAGGAATTCAAACTAATCGGCTTTTTAATGAAGTTGACGCCATTAAACAGTTGTTAAATATGCATTGTTATAATTTTTTATTGTTTACACGAACTATTTCATGAATAATTTAACAAACGTTTTTAAAATCACGTGACTCCTGCGAAGTCTACGATTGGGTGCTAGTCACTGCGCCCCAAAACCAGAACGCCCCATGCATGAGCGCCCCAAACATTTTTACCGGCGCCCAAGTACAAATATGAGCGCCCCAAATTTAAATCACGAGCGCCCCAAACTTAATTCACAAGCGCCCCAAATAAGCATTTCGAGCGCCCCAAGGCTTATTAACTAGTAAAGAAATAAATTATTGGCTTTTGTTACATTTCGATGTTATAAAAAAATATTGATATGAACAATTCACGAGCGCCCCAAATTATATATATCATATAATTAGAACCGAGATACAAAATGTGAAAACGTGCTAGATAGTACTTCATGAATTTCGGAACCATATATAGGTTCGTACTGGAACAAGTTTTTAACAATAAAATAATAAAGCAACACGTATTGAACGCTGTTGAATTATTTATAAAAATGGACTTACCACTTTCTTGCAATGAAGACGCTTCATCTCTCAAACGATCCAAAAGAAATGAACAGTCAGTCGACAATTTTTTTTCATCAGAATGTGGTAAAAATAATTATGAGATTATAATTGAGCGGGCTCCTTTATGTGGGATAAAGACGGTGCTCAGACTTTGAAACTATCGTTTTTAATTACACAAATAATTAAAAAGTTAATAATTTAAAAGAATATTACACAAGTGTTCTCTGAAGAAGGAAGATCAAACAAAAGAATATTTTGTACAGTTGTATGCAACTAAACATGTCAATTTCAACATAGATTCAAATGAAATATTAAAAAAAAATAAAATATAACCAATGAAGTACTTATGTATAAAATTATCACATAATGAGCACCTGTGTACCTGTGTTAGATCGGACGATATTATTCGGGGCGCTCGAAATGCTAATTTGGGGCGCTCGTGAAGTAAGTTTGGGGCGCTCGTGATTTAAATTTGGGGCGCTCATATTTGTATTTCGGCGCCGGTAAAAATGTTTGGGGCGCTCATGCATGGGGCGTTCTGGTTTTGGGGCGAAATGACAGTAACCCCTACGATTAGTCAGCGACAGCGCGGACATACTAAAGACCTGACCTACAAAAGACCTGACTGACCTGACCAACAAAAAAAATCTCCAATAATCAATATTCTGAGTTTTTATATCAATTTTTTCATGATAATTTCTTAATCATAAGGTGCAATTCAATTGAATAGAGGTTTATTCAATCGTTTTTACCAAATATTTAGTCTTTATCCATTCATTTCATGAAAATTTAATGACCTGACCAAATTTGAAATGACCTGACCAAATGATAATCATTCATAATTGTTGTCTTTTTGAAAATATTTGATACATTTTTAACATATATTCTCTATTACAGTGATTGATAGTTTAGATAAAATGTTTTTAGAAACATTTATACCAAATATTAAGTCATTTATCCATTCATTTCATGAAAATTTAATGACCTGACCAAAATTGAAATGACCTGACCATGCAAATGATAATCATTCATAATTGTTATCCTTTTAAAAATATTTGATACATTTTTAACATATGTTCTCTATCATAATGATTGATAGTTTAGATAAAATGTTTTTAGAAACATTTATACCAAATATTTAGTTATTTATCCATTCATTTCATGAAAATTTAATGACCTGACCAAATTTGAAATGACCTGACCAAATAATAATCATTCATAATTGTTATCTTTTTAAAAATGTTGATACATTTTTCAAATTTGTTCTCTATTAAAATGATTCATACACTAGTAATACCCCCACTTTGATGTGAATATATGCTCTCATGAATCCCACCATATGGCATACCTAAACAAAGAGTGTGTTAAAATTTCAAGTTTCCGCCTTGATTAATTGCTGAAAAAACTGTGTCCGACTCGAAAATTTGTGACAGACAGACACAGATGGACGGACAGAAAGACATACAAGGGTAAAACAGTATACCCCCCTCTCCTTCGGAGTCGGTTTATAATTATTACATTTATAGAATGAAACATGAAAATAATATCTTACTTTGATACATGATTGATAACTGGAGAAAAGTTGGTAGGTCCATAGAGCTGGACTCGTCTTATTGCATTCTGGTAAGCATCTAATATACCTGCTATACCCTGCACATATGGATTGGCTGGATTGAAATTCTGAGGAGAAAAAATGAAAAAGCTATTACATGTATTTTAAAACATAGTGGTCCTGACAGTGGGTAATTCAAAAGATGGCAAATATCTTCTCATGAAGGTCAAACAGACAGACAGAAAAATACAAAATTCCAGGTCAAAAAACAAAGAAATTGGAAGAATTAGTCTTTTACTGGTTGGCATGAACTGGTTATTAGCATGAACACCATAGAGTTTAAGTCAAATATGATAATAAAAACAAAACACACCACAGGAAATTCATGTGAAACTGTTCCATCTGGTAACTTAGCACCAAATCCTAATACAGGAAACAGTTTATCACTGCAATGAAGACAAAGACATCATCACATAAGGTAATTAGTCAATAGATATTTGTTATTTTATGTTCACAACAATGACATACTTTATAATAACACCTACAAAACCAGGTAGATACATAGGAACATGAATAATTATACATTTAGGACATCAGTTTCTCTTATAATTTTTTTTCTTTGAAGGGATCGAGGTACATGTACATGTATATGAACTTGACGTACTGTATTAACATACATGTATACAGTATGATTATTTCTACATGTTCATATTGTATAATTGTTTTTTTTTCTGCAGGGTGCTATTTTCTGTGAAATTCTGTGGTCAAGTCTTCAACACAAAAAATGAAATCACAAAAAAATGTGAATTGCAGAATTTCCCCATGTGAGGCCCTTCAATAAATGTAGAACCTGATTTTAATGCTTTAATGTATCCTACTTACAAGACATTTGCATTTGGGATATAAATTAGGTTGTGGAGTCAGGTCAAAAAATTTCACCAAATGAAGTTTTGGTCAATTGAAGAATTGAATTGAAGAAATAAGAATATAAATGAGTGAGAACAATTTTGATGTATAAGTTTTAATTCAATTTTTTTTTTTAGCAACCTACCAACCCGATTTAGGAAAAATATTTCTGAATATACTGAAATTTAACAAATGTGTGAAACAGCTGCCAGAAACTTGAAAATAGTGTCAATAAAAAAAATGTGAAATTAGAAAAATTAAAATTGCAGAAAATACATGTACCTAGATGGGAACCAAATCACAAAAATATGCACACATAAGAAAAACCAGTTATATGGTATTTGTTTATTGATAAGACTTTACATCTGCAAAATCTGTAGTGTTAACATCACAGTCTTTACCTATCATAGTCCTGGATTATCTCCCCAACAGCTTGAATGGCTGCCACATACTGATTGGGTTGATAAGGATTGATGTAATGTAGAGAGTGAGGAGAGGCAGGATTTCCATTGGAGCCAGTAAAATCTATTGCTACTGTGAAATTCAATTGTGTCCTAAAAATAAAATTATGACTAACATTTGCAGATCCCTTTATGAATTTTTAATACAACAGTTCACATGAATACTTTCTTTTGATATTATTTACTTACCCTCCTTTTAAAAAGTCTAAAAATGATGGCTTTATTTCTTTTTTAACACTGAGCAAGTGAATCTGCAACAAAAGTGCATTAAAAATTTTAGTTCATATCTTGCTTCTTTTATTGAACTCGGGAAAAAAAAGACAAAATTCATTCTTTAATCACCTTGCCTGAAAAGATTAAATGCTTTTCAAATGATTTTTAAAATCATTGATAAGAATATGAATACCTGTCCTGAATTTTTGTAGCTTTTCTTCTTCGCTTTCTTCTTCTGATTAATTAACTAGAGAAATGGAGGTCAGATGTAAATATAACCTATTTTCAAATATAATCTAACACAAACTGACAAGCATTTTAAAATACAAGTAACATTAAAAAAATGAAGAAAAGAATACAAAAGTATGGCATGAACTGGTGAGGCAATGAATATGAAAAAGAATCAAATCTAGTTTACCTCAAAACTAAGATTTGGTTTGCCAGTTAGTTCCCTTACATTGGTGGTAAAGTCTCCTATAAAGTCATGGCTGCTGGAAAAAATAAAATCTCAGTGACTTTGAAACATTGTTCAAACAATTACACGTACCTCTTTACTTGAATATCAATTATGTCAATTAAAAACATTAAATATGTAATTAAGTCAAGGTCACCTTCCATCACTATCCCAGTCATAGCATTCAATCTTTACAGTTCTACAAAATATCAAAATGCACATTTTTGAAATGTCCTGAAAAAATTATGTTTGTTTATGTTAAAAATTTATGATGCTGTCTTTCCTTCTTGATACATGTATATTTTTACCTCCTGTCCTTTTTTTTTTTTTAATATTTCTTCACTTCCTGTCATCTTTTCTTATTAGGTCTTTCCACCTTTCTGTGGAAAGACCTATTGATATTCTTCTGTTTATTATTATTATTATTATTATTATTATTATTATTATTTTTCCACCCCCTGATGTGATTCTATGTTTCAAGATATATCGAAAAGATTTATAGTCTATAAGAATGTACTCTTTAAAAGATTTTTGTAGTTGACCCTGCGTGTATGAACTTTGACCTCTTAAGGAGTTACAACCCCTTTCGCAATAAAACCTTGTTATCGCTACTCCTTCGAAACCGTCAACCGTAGAGGTATGGAACCTTCACCAATGTCTTCGACTAATTGAGGGGGCGCTTCAATCTTTTCATTGCGAAAGTATTCGTGCACCCCTTTTATGAGTTATTGCCCCTGAAAGTCTTTGATATTTATGAGTAATGAAAAATTTTCAAAACGATAAGTCGTAGAGACATGGCACCAACTGCATAAAATTCATTGACCTTTGACCTAAAAATATATGTAAAGGTCAAAGGTCAAGGTCATTCCAAAAATGAGAAATTAAGCTCTTTTTACAGCTCTTTTGTCTTTCAATATATACTATCGGTCTTTGCATCATTAATATGTACTTTTAAATCTATCTCAAAGATTTCATTCTTGTCCCCTAAGCTTAACCCCTTTGAAAGTTATTGCCCCTTGTGCGAAAAACCTTGTTATTGCTACTTCTCCTAAACCGTAAATTGCAGAGACACAAAACCTTCACTAATGTCTTCAGGGTCATTAGACACAACTTCATTCTATTAGTGCAAAAGGATCTGCTGACCCCTTATATGAGTTATTGCCCTTTAAAGTCTTTGCGCTTACTATTAAACCTTATAACTTTAAAACTAAAAGTCGTAGAATGATGGGGTCAATTGCAATGTGACCCTTGACCTTTGACCTTGAATATTTGTTCAAGGTCAAAGGTCAAGGTCATTTCCAAATTTCTAAAATTTTAATATTTTCCATCTCTCAAGCCATCTCTGGTTTCTCCTGTATAAAAATAAACAGTAGAGAGTTAAATGTGAAGAATATATGAAATTTAAAGAAGGTGGAAAGACCTCTAATTGTTCGAGAACAATTAGTCTACTAGTTGTATATGTACCTCTGACCAATTTAATAGTATAAAATGTATTTTTATGTTATTCATGTACCCCATGTATCAATGTTTTGGTTTGGGTGAATAAATTGAACTTGAACATTTTCAGAACCTCAGATTGGTGTATTTAGACATCAACATCTAAAAAGACTAAAATCTATATCAATAATATTTTTAAAGAGGAATATATCTCTTTGATGTGTGAAACAAGAGAGTAAGAGTTGACTTAAATACCTGTCATAGTCTCCATTACAAAGTTTTGCCACTGGAATTTGAAAAGGCCGCCATGTTGGATTGAGTGTATTTTTTATAACCTCTGTCTTATGAACAGCTGTGAAACTGAAATGAATAAAAATACATGTACAGTTATTACAAACTGTAATAACCATATACAGGAAAAGGATTGTACTACTATTTGTCTTCATTTAAGGAGGGATTCTTCTCATAAGAACACTGATTTCCTATATTTAAAAATCAATGAAATTTTCACAGAATCAAGAAGAAAATATCACTAAGTGGTGGTATCAGCTGGATTAAATTTGACCGTTTTATATTAGAGGCAAGGTCAGGTCAAGGTCAGTACCTTTTCCCTGGACATTAAGAATAAAAAATACTGTTGCCAATCATGCGATGCCTACTTCTATTTCAATAAATTAAATGTTTTTCTTTTTGCATAAAGAGATATTACCATTTTGGGTCTATAAGATGATATTACCAAATTGACATAAATAATTTAACTAAAATGGATATTGGCTAATCCGAATTTTCACTACTTTTCTTAAAATTTTAAGATATTTTCGTTATTTTTATATGCTTCCTATATTTAAATTTTTCTTATTTTCAAATATGGTAAAGTTGTCAAATAAAGATACAAAATGATATAAAAACAAAAAGTTTTGACCGTTTACTAAGAGATAAAAAATATTTTTACGAATTTTTGGCTCAAATCTGAACTTAGATTGGAAGATTTTAAAAGCTAACATAACTGTAGTTTCTTTGAAAAATCATACCTTTTTGATATATTTTAAAACTTTAGTCCCTTATCATTAATTCAACTTACATTTAAAAATTTTCTCCAAGTCTTTGATTGTGTAGAATTATAACTAAATTCATTGTTCTATAATTATTTTGAAAGGCAGAAAAGAAGATATTTTCATACGCCGCCATTCCGCCAAAAATATATAGTCCCTGCTAGATTTCAAACTCAGTTTACCATTTCTATTTAAAGTTGTACAATTGTGATGAGGAAAGAAAAATATGATCTTTTAAATCTCTTACATCTAAATATATAAAACATATAAGCAAATATACTTTGAATATTTCATCTAGTCAGAAACGAGACAAGAATCCCTCCTTAATACAAAGCACTAATCTTATAAATATAATATGGTCTGTTGTGATACTGTACTATATAAAGAAAAAAAATTAAAGGAGTATTCTGAACTTAGATCTTCATATTAATGTTACAGTATTAGATTTATTAATTTATTTAATAAATCTATAATGTATTTCATATGTTTTTAAATTGTAAATATAAAAACATTAATATCATAAATAGATTATATATCAGTTAACTGTATACAGGAAATAATTTTGCATAATACACTTGTATTCTTCTTCCTGCAGAATAAAGATTGCTGTAATATAGGCAACATACTATACCTACTTCCTGCATATGATATAGATAACAATACAGTTAGCACACTATAGATAGTTTTCCATAGGCCTGAAAATTGCTAGTTATTTCCCGTTGGCTGCCATGTTGGAGGTCCAATGAGCGAATTTTCCTCTTTCAGGACTTCGAGCAAATAATTTTAAACTTGTATGGCAGAAATATAATGGAAAAAATCTTTAAAATACTAAAATTACAAATTAAAGGAAAGCTTGTGTTAATGCATATTCGTAAGAAAAATTGTGTTATCTTCACCCAATTACCCTGTATGACAATTAGTTTAAATTGGTTGAATAATGAAGGAATTCTGGTTTGTATACCTTCAATATGGCGACTAACGGGAAATAACTCTTGCTAAAATTGGGTCAATCGAAAACTATCTATTAATACCTGCGATCCTCATTGGCCTTATATAGAATTAGGAAGGGGTCTGATTTTCCCAGAAAGTCTTTCTTGTCCAATTTGGTTCCACTGAAGTGAAGAGTTAGCAGCTCCTAATTGAATGAAAAAAATACATGTACATGTATATATTATATATCTGAATGCTCAAGGTAGAATATTACAGCAAGCACAATGCTACAACTCTATTATAGACTGCTAGTGTAAAAAGCTCTGTGTGATTGAAGTTTTAAATACATGTTAATATAACTTCAGAGGTAGATTATTCTCCCCTGATATGGCATAAACTAACATTTCTGTTCTTATTAACAAACTCCAGTGAAAAACAGGTGTTCATCTTCAGTGATAATTAAATAAATATTGAGAACAAAATAGATGCAACTGAAATAAGAAGTAAGAAAACAGACTATAGAACCCTTAGAACATACATGTAGTGCCCCTGCTGTGGGTATGTAATGCCTTTCAAGAGATAAAATATAATTTAGTTCTGAACTTCAACTCTTTAAGTAAGAAATTATCTTATTAATTTCATACTGATTTGAACAAATTGTATTATATACACAAGTTTTTTTTCTTCTTTCTTTCTTTTTTTTTTGGGGGGGGGGGGGGGGGCTGTTATGAATCCTTTCCATTTTCCTTACCTTTGAAGCACTCATTTCTTCAGCTCTTACTGAAATGAATAAATTTAATGTTAATGCTTGTATCAGTATTCATAACTGAATGCATACCTTTCTTCATTATTCAACTCATATCTATTTTCCAATTTCATTAGGCTTATTTGTAACCATGTTTTTTTTTTTCTTTTTTTCTTTTTTTTTTTTGAGATCAGAGTATTAGATGTGGTACTGATTTTCTTTTTTTTTCTTCTTCAATTTATCAACTAGGTACATACCTAAACAAATGTGAGCAAACTTCATAAAAGATAGTATCTTCTGTACTTAACTCTGCCCTTAAAATATTCCTTTTGTTGATGAGAAATATTTACCAGTAATTGCAAAGAAAGCCTTGAAACAAAGAGCATATAAAAATTTTGTAATTTTTTGTAGTGGCCTTGATCATGGTGACCGTGTGCCTGACCTTCTGTTATACAGAACACAGAATTGACACTTATAATGGTCCTCTGTCATGAGCAGGAATCAATGTGCCAAGTTCTAGCTCTCATTTTCCTTTTTAATCAATTTAAGACCAGAGAAAATTTAAAGAAACAGATAAAAAGTTAGACAAAGATGCCTATGTACCCCCACAAGTTTGATTTGCAAGGAGATTCACTAAAAATTTTAATGGTTAAATTACTATGAACAAAATGAACAAAAAGAAGGGGTAATTGAAAACATTTTACCGGTAGTTTTCACCAAAATTGTGGTGAAAGTATATTACCATATCATGGACCCGTTCACATAAATTCATTCAAATTTTAGGAAGTGAGAATGATAAACAAATAAAAAGATGTTATTTAATTGTCTTTACCTACCAATTATCTGTCCACGACCCTTGGATCCCCTGAAATATTGAAAGCAAACTGAAGATTCAACATACAGTAAAATACCTTGTAATGAAGTGCCAGCGATGAACAAATTCTATTTGTTTGCAATATATGTAATTCATTATGTCTGATAGGTTTATAATTTGTTCTAAAACTACAGGGAATGAAAATAACTTTACTGTAAGCATGCATTAATTATAAGTGTGTTTGCTGTAACAGTATTGTACTGTACCTATACACGAATATAAACAATATAATTTTGATTTACATGTATGCTCTTGTTATGAAATTATGTGGGACATGTGTAAATTCAGTACATCTTAGAAATTGAATTCAAAGGGCATTAACTCACTGGAGTTTTGCGTCCATTCTACCACTGGACGCCCCGACAATTTCTCCTAGTGAACATTCCAATCTCCCGAGAAAATCCTGTAAAAAATCCCCCTCCAATATACACATCTAATGGACATCAAACTCTCACTGATAGATCTAAGTATACTTAGTGTTTCATGAGTTTTAAATGTCCTAAACATAAGAATTTTAAGCTAGCATACAGCAAAAATAAACAGGAATCTAGTAATATTTCAGTATATTCACAAACTTGATCAAAGATTGTTTTGACACTATACTCATGGTATTGTTGTGAACATGTAATTACATTAGTTACTACTAGCAAGTAAAATGATACACATTCATATTATTATTAATCTCACATGTCCTGATAGGGCTTGTTTAGGTGAGTCAACATCATATCTACAACAAAAAAATAATAAATATATTCCTCAGACATTTACAGTATTTGGATGCACATTTGTACAAAAAATAACATAGTGATTCTTACAAAATATAATATCTGTATAGAGTAATAAGCTATATTTCTGTAAGTGTTCATCAGTTGTATCAAATATAAGACATTGCAATAAATTGTAAGTAAAAGTATTTTTACATTTCAAATTTGAGTTTCTGACTCTCCTCGAAGTAGTAGTTCATCACAAACTTGTGAACAAAGTCTGGATTAAGCGTGTCCTTGATCATCTCTGTTCTGCCAAACTACAAACAAATAATACATCTTCAGATTAATTTTATTAATTAACTTTATAAAAATGGTATTTTCTCCAGTCTTTTCCAGGACAGGGTATCAGAACCTAATGAATTATCAGAAATGAGAAAATTGAACAGACAAGACCTGGATTCAAATCACTGCCACAGTGTATTGTCATGAATTTAAAGACACAAAAACATTATAAACACAAAATCATATCTAAAAATTTCTTACTTGTCAACTTATCATATCTAAAAATTTCTTACTTGTCAACTTATCTAACATAAAACCCATATGCTATCAAATTTTTTTCTCTTATATGATCAAACATAAAACCAAATTAGACAGCTCTTGCAATTTCTTTCTTGTACATCTAATTATCAAATTCAGAGGTATCTATATAAACTATTGAAAGTAAAGATCAACCACATATTATGCCTCACCTCCTGGTAAGAACCTGTTCTTGCGTCCTTGATGTATAGTACACACATTGGATCAGATTTAGAAAATGCATCTTTGTCTTGAAGATTTCTAGAAATATAAAAATAAGATAAAATATGTATATATAGGATCTCCCATGGATTTGTGGTTTGATGTGATTTGTATCTGACGAGTTGCATGTTTTCTATCCTCGCATGGGCCTTTTTTAAAGTACATGTATATTAATTTAATTTATGCATTTACACTAGACAAAATTGCTTAAATGCTCCATCATAGAAAATTAATATTCATCTTTTCAAAACTTGTTTAAGACAAATCTGATGTATAAATATGTTACTACAAATAAACTTAAGATGTTTAATAAATGCCTAAATTGGTAAATAAATAAATGTTGACTAAAGTGTATAACCATTTTATAGAAATGCATGAATTCAAAATAGTGCTAACACATTCAAAAGATTCTTTCTTGTAATTGTGTTCTTCATGTTTGACCATAAAAAAGCCTGGTTGGGCAGTTTTTATGGTGTGTTCAGGGTATCCCTTTGGAGAGGTTTAATCGTTTAAAAAAAATCGAAAATTGCTGTTTCTTTTGGTTGAAAAATACAGCAACTAAATTAACAAATATAAAAATGTCTTCTTTCGGTGATCAATGGCATTTAAGAGACACCACACGACTACTGCAAGATTTTACCACAAAACTGAGGCAACCGAAAGTGTGATTGACCACGTATTGAGGCCAATTTTAGGGTGTTGTATTGAAATCAAGACATCAGCAAATTCTTCTGCAGTAGACAAGATAGCATATTAGATTTACAATGTGTATATTGTGTTGAATGTATTTACAGAAAATATTGAGTGGTGCATTAGCAATTTTGTCTGGTGTACAATAGTTTAGATAGACACAGACAGATAATATATCCAGCAGATAAATCAACAACTTCCTTACACATTCGCATACAAAGAACGTAAAGTAGCTCTCGCTTTTTTTTTAAATTACCAATGTGTCTATCTAATTTTATGCTAAAACACACATGCATTGTAATGTTTGCATGTTCTGAGGTCAAAAACAATAAATATGATAAACATTGTGTTTAAGCCATGAGCATACAAGTTAGATTATATTGATCATTATGAATATGATCAAATCTGACTCTTGTCCTTGATAGTGTGCAATATACAGTACACATTGTAACAGATGTAAACCATGATAACTATAAGCAGAGACATAACATTATTTAGAAGGAAGTTGGCAAAGAAGCATCTAAGGGCAACAAAAAGACAGCTAGAAGCAAAACAAAGAACTAAACTTATGAGGATATTACAGAGGCCGACAGGAATGACAAACAAACATTTTACACATTTAGGAGAAAACTCAAAGACAAACAAATACAAAAAATACAAAGGAACTTACTGCCAATGATGTAGTAAGAGTACATATGACAAATGAAAACGTCATGGACCATAATTATTTTGAATAACTAGCCAAAACAAAGGAAGACACAAGATTTGACAAAGAGCATGAAATACAAGTTTCTCCCAACATACAAATTACTGGACACCTGTTCATGTAATGTATATAATGAAAGATAAAAAAAAATGAACCTGTTTGAAAATGATGTCAAAATGTAATAACCAGCCTGTAGATAGGAAAGCATCTTATTATAGTGTTAAATCCAGACCCTAAAAAGGGCATGGTAATCCAATAATCAAAAGGGCACTTTACGCCGCGACAAGTTTTCATGAGGGCACTTTTTTAGTGTCTTTGAAATTATAAAATAATATTTTCTTTATCATGTTTATGTACTTAAATTATCTTTAGTTATACATTTGTCAAGTATCTAAAAGAAAAAATTATAAATCTGTCGGCTTAATTCATTTAATACACACTGAGAGGGCAATTATTGCCAAAATTTAAATTCAAATTTTTTAATCAAGAAATTAGTATGGTTATCAAGGTTATGCTTAAAAAGTAATAGGTGTGAATCTTTTTGTCACTTGCTCAAGAATTATTTTAGTTTGGGGTATGAATTTTTTTTCCTTGATTTAATATTGTTATTTGTGTATGAGGTAAATAACAGAACAAAATTGCAAAGGGGGGCTACTTTGATAATAAATGTAGAGGGCATTCCCTTTATTTTGAAAATAATCTACGAACAAAATCAAGTGAAAACTGATCATACCAAAAAATTAAACTTGAAATAATATATAAATTGGTTAAAACTTTTTTTCTGGCTTAGAAACATTGAGCCTCTGGTCGTCAACTCAACTGTTACTGTACATTGTAAGTTGACTTAATTCATCAGCAGTTTTATTTTTCTTTATCAACTCTGTTTTTTCTACTTTCAATTTTAAAAAAAACGATCCTGATTTAAAATGTGTAACATTTTAATTTACAAATTAATCTATCTTTGACATTGGGCTAGTTCTTGCATAATCAATGCAATCAAATGATATTTTCTCGTGTTATCTCTTATACCCTAACAGCCTGAGGCATGTTACCTGGCCAGGTGGCTGTGTGCGTTCAAGCGAGAAGTGATTTCCTGTCTTGAATTCACACCTTTGCGTGCATTAAATAAACAAAGGGGCTAATCAGCATGCACTGAATAAACAAAGCCGCTAGTCCATCTTGCCTCTGCTAGGCATATTTATTTATTTTTGCAAGGAAAAAGGGCATGGTGCTAGAAAAAAGGGCATGGCGCCGAGAGAAAAGGGCATGGCGCCGCGCCATGCTAGTTTGCTTTAGAATTAACACTATTATTATTACCGGTATGCAGGTCTAACAGCAGAGCATCTCAAAAATGTGCTATGGATGAAATTTCCCCAGTACGTACCGGTACCATGATAATAAGGGAACGACCACTTGATTCTAAGGGGGAGGATGGAAGATTTTGGAAATGAATAATCTGTCCTCAAAAGAGTTGAAAATAAATAATCTGTCATTGACTGGCATTGAAATAAATAATCTGACTCAAAAAATCTAGTCACCCCCACCCCACTCCCCTCAGAATCAAATGGTCATTCCCTAAAAACAATACTCTACAAAGCAGAACTGCCAGATGAACTAAAAACAAGAATTTAAACACCTGTACTTTAGAAAGGTAAAGGGAAGTCACTACCAACAAATTATAAGAGTATCACAGAGACCCCCCTCTTAAGAAAATTTAAAATAGAATCTATCATTAAAGACAAAACTGAATCATTCAATACTAATAGTGCAACTCAACATCCCTGACAAAGATGTTTTACTGAAAATATTTCACCACCAATGGATGCATTACTTGTAACAGAGGTAATGAATGAGTAAGGATAGTAATGAAAGCATACATCTCACAACCCTGGATGCAGAAAAAGTGTTTGATGTTGTATGGGACGATGGACTCCTGTGTAAGTTATAAAGGGATGGAGTCGTAGGAGACATGTGGCACCTAATAAAATCACAAATTTGAACACACTGAGTGAAACGTAAACATTAACAATAAAAGAGCTTGTGCCCTGTTTACAAAACAGTTAACGTTCCACCGGGTGTGTTCAATTTGTTAAACTCTTCACACATCACTGAGCACCGACTGACATTACTGGAGAGCTGGTTTTGCTCTCTTATGAAATGGGGTTCGTTTATATGAGAATAATGACAAACGCCATGCTGTCGTTGTTGATAAATATATTCACTCTCAGTATAATCAGTATTATCACAGCTCTGAAATATATATAAACAATCATAAATATTTTATAACAAAGCATACATGTAGATCACTTGCCAGATAGCACGGTCAAATGAAGAGTTATTTCCCTTTAATTGTGCTCATAGATAAAACATTAAGAGTTATCTTTCTTAATCAATAATATGTACAAAGTATGAACACTCTGGAATATATAGATAAAACAATGAGATCAAATTATACTGAACTCTTCCAGAATAATATAATTATATAGACAATATTCAAAATATATATACATCATACCTATATGTGATATAGAGCCAACTCCAAATATATACAAAGCTGAACACAGCTACATGTACTCTATTCAGTGATCTGTGTATGAATAATATAACTTTACTGTATTGCACACTTATTCTCACAGATATAAAATATACTTATTACTCTGAATATTTACAAAGTCATAAAATAATCACACAAACTGAACTTTCATACTTTATATTAGAATATTATTATTTGGTAATTTAGCAGATAAACAATTATATAGAAATAATGAAATCAGTAAAAGTAAACTTACATTCTGTCCTGTCTTGGTCATTGTCATAAATAAGTCATCATATCAAAAGCCAATATGTCTACTCAGACCAAGATCTCCAACAAAAGTAATTAACTAAGTAAAAACCAAAAGAGAGGGAAACTAACCAACCAATGAAATCCAAGTTGGCCTGGACACTACACAAGATATATATAGAAAAGGGACAGGGGTTAAAATGACCACTGTGATGTCATACATCTATAAATAACTCAATAGACACAGATTGATGTAAATAATTCCATGTGGATTTATTCAATAAATGAAATGCTGTAAAGAAATAAATATGACAATTTAACTGAATTAATTTAATCCTGAAATATAATAATTAATATATAAAATAAATCACTCTATCACATACTTCCCCTCTTCGTGAAATGACGTCCTCGTCATTTACTATTTCATAAAGAAATAACGACTGTAAAATAAAATAAAATCATATGAAACATAGAATATCACTGAAAATTTATTTACACTTACCGAACTGACTGACTGACTGGTTTTATGTACTTATCTTAACTAATTCTTACCTGTAATAATATCTATCAGAGCCTTTTCTACCAGTTCTTTACTGTTGTTGGAATGAAATACATTGCTGGAAGCTAATGTCTGCAAATAATCAGCCCTTGTCTTCCAGTCTGGTTGTTGTTTTGCTATCTGTTGGTTTACTATATAGTCTCCACTAGTGATCCATGATGTTGTTTTCTTTACTCTTTTAGATCTTCTTGGTACAGTCTTTGGTATCTGTTGTTCATCAGCTGAGTCTTCATCAGAATTGGTATTATCCAAATCGTCATTACCAGCTTCTGCTTGTTGTTTTGTATCTGTAGACTGTTCTG